CCCCCCCCCCCCCCCCGAAAGCTACTCTTTCATTCACTACTGTACTACACTAGAGCCACATAAATTAAGAAAATAGAAAATTATGTTCTATGAGCTTTTTATAGTTCAATGCATCTAACTTTCCATTGTAGAAAGCAAAGAATGTAAACAACAGTTTTGCTTATATGTCTGGGCAACGTACAAGAGCTCCATAATCAATAATAGAAAATGTTACTGAGAGGCCCAATAGACCTCAAAGAGATAATGTGAATCAGCCATTAACAGTAAGTCATTACAGAACTTATTAAGTGAAGCCTTGGGGCTGTCATAGAGCCTAAAGGTTGACATAAATTTTTCATACACATTGAACTTTGCTAAATGTGCCTGCATTTGATTAATGATGACTTTCTTCAGTGTGCTAATAAGAAGAAAGAAAATATGAGCTTGGGCTGCAGCAGGGAGACCAGTCTCCTGGAAGTAAGGCCATCTTTGGCAGCAGGGGAACAATGGGGCTTCCTAAAGATGCACTGCCAAGTACAAGGGAGTTTATTACTCCCTGAAAAATTGCTCCTTACCACCCGGAGATGGGGCACTGAGCACAGCATGCGAACATGGAAAGCCAGTTCTCTAGTTGTGGATCTGAAAGCATCACAGCTCCAAAACAAAAAGAAAAAAAAAAATCCACCCCCTGGCCCCCTTACAGTCCTCTGTATATCACAAAGAAAAATACTGAAGTGCTTCATATTTACAAAGCAGCTCTGTGAGAGGAGTGGTGTGTCTGTAAGACCTGCTGGTGATAGAGCTGGAGGAAATTTGCCTTGGCAGCCAAAGTAGTGAGTCATGGACTCATGGAATGATTTAGGTTGGAAAAGAGGACAACAACAACAAAATAAACCCTTCACTTGCAGAAAGGCCTGAAGAACAGCATATGGATTTGGTCAATTATAACAAACATGTTTCATTTGTTTAAAAAAAAAAAAAAAAATAAATAAAGCAATTGGTAACTTCAGTCCAAAGCAGTCACAAGCCTAAGTCTCTTTCACTAACCACCAAAAATGCTAGGCATGTCTTAAAATTCAGGGGATAGCTTTAAAATAACTACAAAGCAAGGTTTGTGTTTTTTTTTTTTTTCTCTTTGTAGTTTTTAAACCTGTTAAAGAGCTACAATTAAGCTTTTATTTTATTTTATTTCAAAAGAACACCCCTGTAATCAAGAGTCTAACAAACAGTCCTAGCCAAGACGACTCAAGATAAACCAGAAGCCTTCTCCTAGACATAGCTAGATAAGCAATTAGGTATTGGTCCTCATTTTACAAACTTAAAAGGAAAAAGAGATACAGAAAACAAGAGATGTGTCTAGTCCTTCTTACCTCCTGGCAGTATGGGGTAGAAGATGATGTTTTATTCCCCATCACTACCAGCTGTGAATTTGACACTCCCAAGTTGCCACTGCAAAGCAGATTTCCCCCGGCCATAGGAGTGCTTTGCCCACCTATCTGCCTGGTGTTTCAGCTCTTGCTGGTCTTGGTGCAGCTATAAGCTACTGCAAATGGACTAAAGAAGTACGAAAAGGAGAAGGAAAACAAAAGAATCAGGTTTTGAGTTTGGCAGTTAGGGAACTCACAAGAACTTTGATCATTTCAGGTTCAATTCCCTGCCCCAGTTAATATTTAATTATTTGTAGAACACACGTTGGCTTCAGTGGAAAGTCTGAAAGACTCTTGAAAATGATGCTTCTCTGACCTGGAAAGAGGTCTTAGAGTCACACACACTCTAAACAAGTCTCTCCCTGTCAGGGTATCTGTGTTCTCTTTCTTTTCACTGAGACATCTGAAATGCTCCCTGTACTAGGTAGAAATCCCACCATGGGTAAGCACCTGCCCCTGGACATTGGCAAAGTCCATTGTCTTGCGCATATGCACACATGACGTTACCGTGTTGTACATGGCAAAGATGCTCTCTGTGTGTGAGGTCGTAGGTTTTGCACTTCCTCTGCTGTTAGAAGGCAGAAGACCTAATTTTGGAAGCAGGGTTTGCAGTTACTAAGGGAGGCAGTTACAAATGAAGTTGGTGAGCTGAGCTGGTGAGCTGAAATGAGCTGAAGTTGGTGAGCGGGCAAGGCCCAGACTGTGCAGAGCTACAACAAGCATGTTTTTCAAATGACTTTGAATCTGTGACTATGAATTGGAGCTGGTTAAAACTCTTTTTCTTGTGACTTGGGTATTCATAGCCAGCCCAGCTCAGTCAGTCAAGGATTTGAAACAGCCTTCCTTAACCAAATGCTGAGATTAGTGATACTAAATAATGGAAAACTTGTTCACTAGCATGCCTGGGCATAGAACTGGGTCAAACTGGTTGATCCCTGTCTCTT